AACCGTTGAACACGTGTTCCATCGCACAATTACGCGTCCCATCGGCGCAAAATAATTGACCATGACACCGAACCCGGGGTTACCAAAAACGAAAGTAACTACTAATCGGTGGTCAGGGAGCATTTAGGAGCTCGCATTTTCCCCGGAGGTGAAACGGTGGGATGTTTAGCATATTAAAAGAGAACCACCCGCGGGGCGCACGGTTCGATCCTCGCAGTGTTCGTTTAAAGCGAGCTCGACCGAAGAAAGATGCAGCTTCCCGGCACGCACGGGGAAAGGGGGAGACGAAGAGAGTCAGAGAAACAAGTTAATTGGGTGAGACGAATCGATAAGATGTTAATAAACATTCCTCCACTGAAACCGAGGTACCTTTCAGCTGTTCGCCGTGAGGAAGGAGCCGACAATGAGTGCAGGAAAGACTGAGTCGTTCCTGTCGTGTCACGAGAGAACGGCGGAAGCGGGTAGCCGAGGAACAGGGTTCGAAGTTAGAGTCCTCCACCCCTTTCGTCCAGTCGCGACCGCCCTCGATCAAGGATAATTGCATTAATTTATTCCCGATCTGCCGCAGAAATTCCAGATCCTCCGAGCTAATTACGTTATTAAACGAGCCCGCGCTTCCCGCCTCCTCCAGGATTACGTCTCTCGATAAAATTCCTCGAGGAGCAAAACGACCCGCCGCTTTTCACTCCGCGTCTTTTTCTCTCTCTCTCTCTCCCTTTTTCTCTTTCTTTCCCTCGCTCGCCACTGTTAAATTGCAATTTGTACGAATCACGACCGCGGAAATGCACCCTAGGACGGGGACGCTGAAAGAAGTCGAGAGTTCTTAAAAAATTATTACTACCGAGTCACCGTCCTCCCTCTGCTCCGTATCAGGAGGAGGAAGGGGGCGACTCGGTATTCACCCGGGATCGATAGAGCCGAGTGACAAAGGAAAAGTTCGTTAAGCCGTTCCCGTGGAAATTGTCGATCGCGACCGCAATTAAGACGCGGCGCGCGGCGGCGCGCCGACATTTTTCAGCGCTGAAATGTTACTCCTCTTGCTCAGGAATTATTTGTGTGTGACGGGGTTGGGAGGGGGGGCGTGGGAATAGAATAATGAAACGGTTTCATTTTTAAAATCTATGTTGTTGAACGAGTCATTTGTATTACGAATATTGATCTTGTTTGGGTAAATTATTTAAATTGTGTGGCAGCCATTAAATTATTATTTACGTTGTCACTTATAAACAATTGCGAAATAGTTAAATATAAATTCCTAACGATATTGAAAGAACTATCTGGTTGACACTTAATCAGATATTGTAGGTTGAAGATTTTCACATTTGAATGTCATTTGGCCATTCGATTCGTTTGTAAATGTAAGAAATTTACTTGATTCATAAGGTGTTTAAATGAATTTCCACTGAACCTTATTAACAACACATCAAGACTAAATATTACCTATTGTTTTACTCGAAGCCACCTATACTGCCTTCACCTATATACTTTTATCAGTACTTAATGCAGTCGCGATAAGAACATGTGTTTAAGATGCGACTGCGTTTCATATTTAACTCTGTTCTGTACATAATTATTTCTATAGCTATAATGATATTGAATACGTTAAAAGTTATAAATATCTGTTAATAATTTTACTGGTTACAGAGGCGTGTAATAAATTTTCGGTTGATCCAATATTTGACCAGGTGTACGCTATGCATTGGTTGTGTCGCACGTATTTTCTTCTCGCGTTGAAGAAACTAGTTCTTTAGGTGGGGGTAGCGTGGGATTATACCGGGAGTCTGATCTATCTTGCTTCCAGCGCGATCGTGTCTTGGAATAGGTTAAGACAGCTGATGCCTGGGCACAGGATATGATTTGCATAAGGTCCTGATTTAAGGCACATCCGCTTCGCGTTGTTCATTTCAACAGGATCGAAGATACGTACCCTTGCATGGTCGCCGCATAAAATTTATAATTAGTAGGGGTTGGTCACATGTAAATGTTCTCAATAATAGCAACGGTATGCATCGTGACGTATCATATTATGCTATGCACATTTTACCACGTTGAATACTCTTATATGATGGCAATGTAAATTTTAGGATAAAATTTACTAAAAATCTGTTGCTAAACGAATTTTCCCTTATTTAGTTGAAACTGTAACACCTACTTGATTATAGAAATTAATAAATTGTATAACCTACAATCAATATGATAGTAATATTAAATGTAAATTCCTTTACAAGGATTATATTATAAATAAGGAATATAAATTTTTAATATTCCTATTTACAGCATAAGTCTTTTGTATCATGATGGTTACTTTCTATAATCTCTATAAATTAATAACAAAAATGTTTAGAATAAAACCTAACATGCTGTGATATAAATATTTTTGTTCATAAGAAATGTATGAGTATAAATGAACTTTGAACTTATTAATAAAAACATAGCGTTTGTAGATTTATTTTTAACTAACGTTGCATAGAGTAAAAATAATCTGGCAATTTGATATTATCATTAGGCATTCGAGGAAAACATTATAGTCGATTTGAAAGTTGGCAAAAATGAAATGCGAGCGAAGAGAATCAAAACGGGAATAGATTTTTAACGCCGGAGGAGTCTTCCGTATTCAATTACCAGGACTTAGTAGAAGGAACGAGGGTCGAAGAGGAGAAAAAACAAGAAGAAAGGGCGCATACATCAAAACGAAACGGCTCTTTGGAATTTCTAATGAAGTGTGTGAACTTCAACCCGTTTTCTAGGCGTAACCTAATTAAAGTCCCGAACGCGTATGCAAATTTTCGCTCAGCGGGACATACAGAGGTTAAAATCAGCCTCCCTTTTCTGCATTTGCCCTCATGCCTTCTCTTTCAAATGGAGAAACGTTCGTGCGACGATTTTTCACGGGACGTATTCTCAGTCGTCGCCGGATCCACCGATAATTAATTAATTTTATGGGTAAGGGTTGAAGCGAATTCCGTTGCATGATCGAAACGTTCAAACGGTACCAATTAAACCAAGGTAATTACAAACGCTGTGCTTTTGACCTGTACGAACGGTGACGCGTGTTGAATAGATCTGTACAACTTAAATATTATTGTAAATTATTAATACATTTATATGTATTAATTGTCATTCTTTTTAACGCTAGAACTACCCCACCCGTCAAAATGACAGGTTTCAATTTCTTTATTTCATAATTATTGATATCTTGAAAGTTTTAAATATCCAAAATGATTTTATACGTAAATAGTTTCACTTTAATACTATGATACATGTGTGAAGGAATCGAAAAAATGTATTGTTACAATTTTTATAATAATTACATATTTATCATATTAGTAGGTATTCGTAATTGTTCTAGTATTAAGTTGCAATTGTATTAGAGAACAACGAGCCATATGCGTTTCTTATCGTTAAAATATATAATATACAGTATTTCATACTATATACGATATTTATAAAAATTAGATGTTTTTTTATATTTTTCAATATTCTAATTATTTCTACATTCATTTCGGCGTGTGTATTCAATTTAAAAAAAAAATTCAAAGAACTGCCGAACGGAACCTGTAGTCATACTAGTCAATGATCTCTTTAGCTCGTAGCATGGTGCACCATAGCGCAACCTGCGTGTCCCTCGGTGCAGCTGAATGCATCGTGTATCGACAATAGTGTCGATGGTTCGATGGGGATGAATATCTATTGATTGGCAAAGCCACCCCTCAAAATCGCCTCGATATATAGTCGTATACCTGCCGCAACCCCAAATATGTTCGTGCTACCTGCGAGTATGCAGCAAATTATCCTGTTTTCAGAGCCACGTGCCACGAGTCAGGTACATTCACGATGTTCGGCACGCATCACTGTCCTTTTCACTTTCTGATGATCGATATCGATAACCATTTCGTACCAGGTGTCTAATTCATAAGTAAAACTTATAAAATTAGACAGTTTGCAAAAATTTTTTGGATAAATTCTTTTGACGGATTGGAAATAACTATTTAAAGTTTACTAAAATATGAAGATTGAGGAAATATTTTAAGAAATTCTATGTCACATCATTTTAAATAAATTCTTATAACAATTTGACCCTTTGCTTTTGTTTCCTGTATTTACTGAAACCACCATTTAATTATTTTATGCAATAATTCTTATTATGATATCGAGCATCAAAAAATAATTCGAATTTGAATAAAAATTTTGAAAAATATTGAAACCCTTTATATTTCTGTACTTGAGTTACATTATGCTTCAAAATCTTCAGCGCCAAATAACTGCCTCAAAATAAGAGTGGTCTATTTATTATTTGTAAGTCTTTGAGAATAAAAGCTTTTGTCAAATGTACTTAGATAAATTATGTAAATGCTAATATTACGATGTTATTAATACTGTTACTTATTAATATTTGTAATGCATTCCCTGCTGCAAACTTGTTACCACCCCTCCTTGCTGTCACAAATATATATCTTCAAAATCGAAAATACACGATAACAAGTCCATCAAATATTCAATCACTATGTAAAGTACATATTCTATGCGTCACTTTTTAAGCTCAATGCATTGTCTACAGTAAAATAAAAAAAAAACCTTTTAGGTCACCCTTCTAACAGGCCTCTCAAGCACCACTGACAATTACGAGCTACTCGAAACGAAGGTTTCGTAGCCTCCATATGGATATTATAATTACAAACCCGACCGAATGCATAACGGACGTACGTATTAAATAGCCACAACCAGTTTTTACCTCCGATCACACGCATGATCGCTGCTAGATCCACATCCATTAAAAATTGGTAACTCGATATCAGGGTATTGTCCTAACATGCTCGATACACATGCCTGAAAAGTTTGCTCAGCTATGCAGGAGAGCCTGAAGAAAGCGATACAATTTATTATGCACCTATGGCTGAAGGAAGCGATACATTTACTATGCAGGATCCCTAAACAATATTTCGAAAGGGTTTTTTTTCTCTCAACGCCAAAGTTTGTTCATGCGCACGACTTCATATCGTGTTAAATATTTCCGAACCGTAGAATGGAAAACGTTCGACGTTCACTGCTCTTCTATAAGGCACCCTCATTTGGAATTATATAATTCTGAGAATAATATTCAGAATAACCTGCAAATTAATTTCTTATGAATTTTTAATCTCTACTTCGTATTATACTTTATTCATTTACTATGGTCAACACTAAATTTAACGAGTACAATTGTTCTTTATCTCATTTGCCATTAATTTGTTCTTTAAAAATGCATCTGTACATAAAGAAATACTCACCTTAGTTTGCACAAGTCAGTTTCCGCGCAGTGTCTTTCACAAAAACACTGAGAAAATATCTTTAACTACACTCCTCATCAAACATTCTATATTCTTAAACAAAAATTCTTCTAACAATCGATCAGGTAATCATCAGATTAATTTTCACTCTCCAGAAAAACATATTAATATTTATTCGCATTATTTTACTAAACATCGCATTGTCTTCACACTATACGTGTACAATGAACATATCAATCGTTACCCAAAACAATATGCATACATTAATAAATATATTAGTCACAAATAAGAAAACCCTATTCTAAACTACCAAATAAGCTCATTTCCTCTTCTTAACAATTCAAAACTAACTCTCCAACGGAAGAATTAACTTTCCCATTCCAATAACAACCAAAGTTCACCAACACCACAAAACCGCGCAAACAAAATCAGGACAAATACCTACATTTCTCTCGCCCCTCCGGAAAAGAACAGAAGAACCGACCCTCTCACAGACCCAAGAACGTTGCGAGCGCAAAGCTCGCAGTATGTTCGATGAATATTCTAAAATTGTTCGGAGTATCGATTACGTTGGAAGCTCGTTACAGAACGGTACGCGAGAAAGGGAAGGAAACAGCGAGAAACGGGAGAGGGAGAGGAGAGGAAGAACGGACGCCCCTTCGTATCCGGATACGTTCCTGTCCTGTCAGTCGTATGTCAACCCTCGTTGTTTTTTTGCCGCGCTCTTAATAATTGATCATCTGATTACGATACATTATACCCCCCGTTCTCCCTGTCTTTCTCTC